TTCTGCCTACCAAGCTCCTTTAGAGGTGTTGATTGTATAACTAAGATTGATCGAAGCCCACTCACTAAGTATTATTAATGGATCCTTTTTTTTTTTTTTTTGCTTACTTAAGTATATATCATTCTTTAAATAACAGACATCCCTAAAATAATCAAGGTTTATAACCTGCTGAGTGCTGAGCTTACGTCTCCGAACAGTAATTATTGAAATTAATTATTCATGAATTGACTTATCACGATATCATTTCCACTTATTTCAGAAGATATGCGAATTATAAACTCCAATGACATGCAAACTTGCAATTGAAGTCCTTCCACTTGATGAAGTATTTTCGTCAACTCATCAAAAGAAAAAATAAAAAAAAAATTTTAAAAAAAAATTGTGTACATGTATATCCTTCTGTTATAACAAATATTACTCAAGACATAGCCGTATATTAAATGTGAGTATCACTTTAAATAGGATCTGAACTTTGATACATTACATGGTGAGAAAATAGCTCATTCCACTGGATCTAATTTTTATTAGTAAAATCACAACCATTTTGTAATAACATAACAAAAAACACAATAATTCACAATAATTATAGAAGTGAAGCGCGCGACAGCAAGCGCTGTCTTGCCAAGTGGAAAAATATCAAAATCATAGCAAAATAATAGTACTATGAAAGCATACATACATACATATATAATCTCATCATCAATTCATAAATTGATAAATGGAATGGAAAATACTGAAAAAAAATTTTTGACCTTTTAATTTGAACTTGTTTTATGCACAAATATTGATTAGGTGAAGAATATTGAGAGGAGAACAAAAATACAGAGAAAGAAGGCTATACTTTTTAAAATTAATTTTATCTGGTTGGCTTTTTTAATTTAAATTATGGATAACTTATTGCCATTTCTTTTCAGGTTGAGAAAAGCATTGTATACATTTGACACACACAAATCATGCGTATAATATTTTACAGTACTTTCTGTATCATAATAAAAGTAGCTGGCCATTATTTTCTCAAGATTGCAACAATAAGAAGTAAGCTTTTAATTATTAATCGCACTATCATTCCTACAGATGCTTTCATATGTAATTAATTACATGTTCATTAATTTGATGCTTCGTGGAATATAAGAAATTAATGTCGAAACCGAATACTTCCCTCTGCAATTTCGAAGAAACTAGCAAGCTAGCTAGTGCTTGTAATTCAGCATATTATTCTCAAGACAATCATGCGTAAATACTTAGATGTGAAAAGTTGACCTTGCATTACACATAATAATCATTTGCCAATCAATTAATTTTTAATTGTTATCTCTTTTCTTTCTAGCCTATAACTACAGTATTGTATTGACTAAGGGAAATGAGGATCATCATGAAAAAACTGTTACATAAACTATTATATTAATACGAAATGCTTCCTGCACTAATATTATATAAACTATATATCGCATGGACTATTTAGAAAGTGATTAATGCTTGTCAGCCCTTATTAGCTTGCATCATCATATCATTGACGATAATACAATACATTAAAGTTAAACCTGATCTTGATATTCCACTTTTTCTTTTAATCCCTTTAAGATTCGACAATTTTCTTTAATGAAAATCGTGCCCTGCTACGTTTGGAGACATTAAAATCGCAAGTAGGTTCCACATGAATATGCCTTTTCACATGATTTAGTATCAGAAACAGAGGGACAAAGGACTCTTATCGCTTTGTATTGCACCTTTGTATAAAACAGAAAAGGGAGCAACATCGTCATATTTAAAGAAATATAACAAATAAATTATTGAAAATTATTCCATGCCTGAGCACTCATATATAAAATATCATATCCTTTCCTTCCACAAAAAAAACACACTTGAAATAATTGAAGTGACGCTCTTTTTCTTTACTTTTTACGTCATAGACACAGTGTTTTAAAAATTAAAGACTATTATGATTTGTTTATTGCGCAATATATGAGAGAACATCAGGAAAAAAAATTCATCATTATGTGAATCTTTTTCCTGTGAAAGCTTTTCTGGGTCTATCCGGAGCCCCCAACACCGCGTGTCCTTTCCGCATTGCAAAAGATCATACACATCCACATTATTTTTCTGTGTAGGGAATAAGACATGTATTTAAGTGAATTCCATATTCCATACTTTTACATTAAAAAGGGAGGATAATAATTTTTTTAAAAAAATTCTTTTATACGTGAAATCAAATGGTAAAACTATTCGCCGTTTAAAAATAATAAAATAATGAATGTAAAACTGTTTAATTCATAACCATGCATATATATAATTTATCATGTTCTTGTGATATTATAATAAGATTATGGATATGCGCTTTAAATAAAATTTGAGATAAGCACTATTTATAGTTTATGAATATTATCGATTACTATGAACTTTATATTATACATGGATATACATGATGTATAAATATTACACACACACACACACGCACGCACGCACACACATTATCTTATCTATGCACTTTTGCTAGCATATGATTTGGGAGTAATGATCAAAAGGCCCCGAAATTTTGTATGCGTGTGTAGGATACACCACACAAATGTATATCATTATACAAACATTTATTGTTTTTCTATGCTTTTTGTGGTTTGTATATTTTTCCCCTCTTTCTTATAATATGGGAACCTTAGTATGGGTTAATCTAACAAGAAAAGTTGGTATTTCTAACTTTCTTAGAATATACAATTGGTAATCTGGATAAGGCACCTATATGTTGGCAAGATGCACTTTCTTCATATTGGAATGATGAATATATAAATAATTAATAGTTGATGCGAGTACAGCGTGGATTTTTTAATTTATTTGAGTAAAAGTGAATCCACATAACATATTTGGAAAGAGATTAAAAAAACCAAAAAACAGAGAGAAGTCTAAAAATGAAATGTAAGTCCTATACATAGTTATATTCTTTCGCATTATTTTTTGTTCAACATGAAGATGCATAAAGGACATCATTAATTAATTAGTTTATTACCATGTGATGCTAAACACATAACAAAAATTCCATAATTTGACCCTCATAAAATTAATCAATATAATTAAATTAAACCAGTTTGCTTGGTGGTGGTGGTGGTGGATGGTGTGCGTGCAGGGTCAAAGAAGCAAAGATGTGTAAATTTCTCGTTTAAGCAAAAGAGCATATTCTTGAAGGTGATGCTGACGAAGAATCTGCACAGTTGAAATCATGGCTTTATGCCAAACGAGTGAAGATCTGAGCCACAAAATGCGATTACACATAAAAAAGGCATTTGAAGATAGTGCGTTCTGAAAATTATTATGAAGAAGAGAATCTGTGTATCTCCCAAACTTGTGTGTGGAATATATCCTTCAAAAAGTTTGGGGCAAGTGGCTCAATCTTTCATTTATGGAATTGTGCTAATCTCATCCATTATATAATGCAGTGCATTTCAGAGAGCACCATGGCAATTTTGGTTTGGTTTGGATTCTCTCCATCGGGATCTCTATTATTTTTCTTATTGTTGTTGCTGTTGTTGTTATTATTATTTTTTTTTCTAGTGCTATACACACACACACATATACATTTGAACTTTGGCTCGACTTGGCCCATGTTTACTTGATCCATGCCGTTTTCTCCAGAAACCCATCTTCATAATGGATAACGAAAGTGGAATTGGAGGGACCAGGCCATTTTTAATCATGCATTTTTTTAAAAAAAATAATGCTTAATTATTTCCAATCAACCCTCTTTCTCAATCATTTCTCAATATAATACTCGCTAGCTACCTACAATCATCTCTCTTTAGTTAAAATTAAAAAAAAAAATCGTACGTAATTATATTCTTACCAAGGCAACAAAGAAGGCTAAATCATTGTAGAGAGAGAGACAGAGAGACGTTTCAACTTGTACTATAGATTTCTATTAGTAGTTAGTAATAAACCAAGTCACCAGACGATTCTGATTAATCACTTGTTATAAGGGAAGATATTTTAGGTTTAACTTTTGCTTCTCTGTCATGATCATAACAAGAAAAAAGAACCTACATTTTACCTTCTAAACTTTGATTCGATTATCAAAATGTAATAAAGCATAATCCTTCAACACTAGATATCAAACACCACTTTAAAAGATCGATGGATAAGTCGATGTTCTGGTGCATTGCCATAAGCAGCACGCATGTTTTGTTATATTTCAACATTAATTATTCTTTATAGTGATGTTTAATTAGTTTAACCTTTAATCATATTAGATGATATATATATGGCACCTTTATAATTAACGTTGATGTATGTTATAGTTTTATAATATAATTTTAGTTCACATATAGCTAGAATTAAAAAGAAATAAAGGAATAAGTAAAGAGATGGTGGAAGCTAGCTAGCTATATTATATATCCCGAAATATAGAAAAAGCCTGTAAGTAATTCATCTAAAAACTGAAAGAAAGGACGCAGATTGAATTGCGGCTAACCAGGGTTGACGAGGACGGAGCCTTAAAACTAAGTAAGAAATGCCAAAGATGGAAGCATGGAGTAAACCCAAGCAACATTTTATTGGAGGAATTATATATATGGTCCATATAGGAAGAGCAACACAAGAAAATTATGTTATTAATATTAATCGGAATATATGTGTGTGTATGTGTGTATGAGTTGTAAGGCTTATAAACAACCACTTGGTGGTTGACACATCATAAAGGACACTGGTGGGCCCACAGGAATTTAGTGTATGTACTAGTAATGGTGCAAGTTAACACGAGTTACCTCTGGGAAGGGGTCGTCCCATAGAGAGATATACCCAAATAAGGTTATGTATAATAGACGGCAATAGGGTAAGATGGAACGAAAGGTGTTTGGGAGGCACAACTGGAAAGTGATTTAAAGCTATTTAGTGATGCTTCGCATTCTTGTTATGCAACTTGACCCAGCTCCACCACCTTTTTATCACTATAAATACCCCTTTCCTTCTTCCTATTCCAACTCGTGGGATAGAGAGAGATAAAAACTAGAGAGAGAGAGGCACAAGAGGTCATAGCCTTGAGCCTTCACTGCAAGAGAGAGAGAGAACTCAGTATCACTTTTTTTCCCACACAAAGAGGAGAGACATCATCTCCAAACACAATCCAACATGGCCCTTCACCAGCACCAATTGGCTTTCATTTTCGGCATCCTAGGTATATACATATATTAACTATTGCACGTTTTTCCCTCTTAGATTTATAACTTTACGTATTATATTCATCATCACTTCAGTTTATTAGTTTCACATCCTCTTATATTCCTCATCATCTCATCATCCATCTTCTTCTCTCTTCTTGGTTTTCTTCTTATGATACAGCATATAGTTGCATGGCTTTTATCATCTCAAATATAGTTTTTAAAGGAAAACAGAGGTGATAGGCTTGAAGCATGCATATTTTTGTTATGTGCATATTGCTGGGAAATTTTGTGGCTCACAGACTCGTTATCCGGATATGTCTAGAACGAAGCTGATCGATTTCTCTTTTGTCTTTATTGTGCTATTATTACAGGCAACATCATCTCTTTCATGGTGTTCCTTGCTCCAATGTAAGTGCCGAAACTTCATTTTGGTTTCATATTGGATGATTTAAATCAGCCAAAATAATCACGGTCACGTGGGTTAATTAATTAATTAATCATAACATCATAATTACACATTGCAGGCCGACCTTTTATCTGATATACAAGAAGAAATCTGCTGAAGGATTTCAGTCATACCCTTATGTGGTTGCCCTGTTCAGCTGCATGCTTTGGATATACTACGCGCTTGTCAAGAACAACGCGACCTTACTTCTCATCACCATTAACTCCTATGGAATTGTGGTCGAGATAATCTACCTTGCCATTTTCCTCGTCTATGCTCCCAAGAAGCTCAGGGTATATATATATCTGATTTTATAGTGAATTCTTTAACCTTTTTTTAATTAATATATATATGTGGCTTTGTTTAACTTTTCCTTATGTGGAAACAATTCACAGCTTGCGACGATTAAGCTTCTTCTGTTGCTGAATGTGTTTGGGTTCGGAGCCATGCTTCTGTCCACACTGTATCTTTCACATGGAAACACTCGTTATCAGATTATAGGATGGATTTGCCTGGTGGTTAACATCAGTGTCTTCGCTGCTCCTCTCTTAATCATTGTATGAAAACTGTTCTTCAAATTCTAATTTCTTTTTTATAATTACTTTTTTGCATGCACTAATCGTTATTAATTGATATTATTATAATAATACGTGCAGAGGAAAGTTATAAAGACAAAGAGTGTGGAATACATGCCATTCACTTTGTCCATGTTTCTGACCGCAAATGCTGTGATGTGGTTCTTCTATGGCCTTTTCCTCAAGGACTATTTCATTGCCGTAAGTTCATTAATATTTTTAATTAATTACCAAAGACGTGTAGCTTTTTAACTTTTTCTGATTTTGTTTTATTGCTTATATATATGGGGCCCCTTTAGCTTTTCTCTCCCCTTCCTTTACATATATGGGATACGTAACAAGACAAAATTAATTAAATAGAGGCACGCTTAATTAATTCATTAATGTCATGACCCAATTAATAATAATTAAACGGCAAGTTCCATAAACAATGCATGGGCTTCATGTATAAAAATATCATCAATTCGTCTTGTTCTTTCACACTAATTAATCAAATTATCTTTTGGATGTTGATGATTCGCAGCTCCCAAACACACTTGGGTTTCTGTTCGGCATCGTTCAGATGGTGCTTTACTTGATGTTCAGAAACGCCAAGCCAGTGGTACTAGAGGTTCCAGTGAAGGTTCAAGAGCTATCATCTGACCATGTCATTGACGTTCTGAAGCTGGGCAATACGGTCTCGGAAGATGCAAATAATAATAAGGAACAAAGGAACCCCAACTCTGAAGAAAAGGTTTAAGTGGATCGATCAAGAACAAGGCTAGAAGAAGAAGAAGAAGAAGAAGAACAAATTTAACCTAAAAACAGCAATTAATTACTTTTCTGAGTGGAGGCATGCAAAGCAATTGAAGAAACAGTACGTAGTGTGCGATAATGGTGTGGTTACTTGTGCCTGTACGATATAAACTGTAACTGTGAGGCACAGTCAAATTATTTAACCCTATATGGCCTCCTTTTATATATCACTGTCATATATATGCATATAATATGTTGTTGCTGTTTATGTAGTGATACAGTATAATTTCTGTGTATCCTTGAGTCAAATAGTTACCCATTTCATCTTTCTGAATTGCTATAAACGCGAACCATATGTACTGATGATGATGATGCTCAATTATTTTTAGTAATTTGAAATCTACGAATTTGGCTGTTAACTATATCTGTTTTGGTTACTTTCCTTAATTACTTCAATTAATTTGCACGACACGTAATCTTCATCATTATCATTATCCTTTATGATCATTATTATTGCTTCTTGGTAGTGATTCATTTAGTTTTCCTGTATCCAAATTAAAGAAAAATTCATGGTGTTTTCATATGTCATGCACGACAAGGGGGCAGATATAAAGGCATCCTTGAAAGTAAATTTATCTTCATGACGACAGCATTCCAAGTTGGTGACCAAAAAAAATGAAAAAAAAAGAAGAAGAAGCAAAACTACGGTTATAATATAAAGAGTTATAACTACGGTCTCAGTCCAGAACCAAAAGTAAAGAGTTATGTAACAAAGAAGTGATATTTTTAATATGTGCGATGTGTGTAAAAGGTGCTAAGAGATAAATATCTTTGAGTTTTCTGCTTTGCGGTGTATGTTAACTGTTGACTTTATTGAATCGTGTGCATTGACACATATATAAAATCATTCAAAAATTAGAAGAAAAAAGACTCACATGCTAATAATTGGATTATAATTGCAAAATGATTGACTTCATTTAAAATCAACATTAATTGATACGAGCAAAATATCATCCCGTGATAATTGTGCATGGGGAAAAGGTCAAAACAAAATGAAAAGTGCTAAATATATAATAGTATAATGAAACGTAAAAGTATAACGTTCAAGGCCCCTCCCCAATATTTAACTCTTCCTTTAATTTTCTCTTTTTGGTTTTAAGGCGGCCTAGCAAGCTGGCTCCGGAATAGCAGACAATTCGGAATAGCGAAGAGGAGTGTTTGGGAGATTAAGCTGATCAATGAGGTCCATGCATGGCCATGCATGGAATCGCAATAGTGACGGTTCATCTTTGGTTTGTGATATTTTGTGAATGATTTGTACCAAGACAATATATTATTGGTCCACGATGTCCGTTTTGGTGCTAACCTCTAATGCAAGGTATGAATAGAGAGAGGGAAATAAAGAAAGAAGGAAACAAAGTCGAAATCTGAGTTTTCCTTTCCTTTGCGTTAAAAGCCATATAACCTTTTTTAAATGTGTTAATTTCACTCTGGTGTCATAAAAAAGTAGCTAACAAAATTATGAAGGAGTTGGTTCCACTTGGCTTAATATTGTGAGCTTTGGAGCTAGTAGAGATAATTACTAACCAAAAAAGGGCACTAATAAGCCAATATATGAAATTATTGCCATGACCAATATAAAATATTAAAAACGAATTAACGGTTGGCCACTTGGCCTGAGCCTTAAAACCAAATCAAAAGTCTTTCTAAATATGATATATTATTAATATAATTTTCCCTGCTGATCCTTTTCTTTTTAGATATGGTTTATTATATATATACACACATACTAGTTAATTAATAGGGACCTGACCTGAGTAGTTGTATCAAAATAGTAAGTTGATTTGAACTCCGTCTAATCATATGTTTTGAATAAAAAAAAAAGCACTAAGGCACTAATAACCAATCGTGAAAAGAGAAAAGGGGGAAGGAGAGGGGAAGATGAAGATAATGGCAGAAACAGATGACTCACAATCAGAGGATAAGCATTCGAAGGCTTTACGCAAATGAGTGAGCGAAGGCTGGCCCTTAAAAAATTAAAGTAGCCATCGATGATTGTGTCCAATAAAGATATATAAAGGCACATATAAGTCCCCATGCCATGCATCGCACTGGCACATTACATGGTTATATTGCGTGGTGGTTCCCTTGGTACACTCCAACCAAAACTCCTTCATAATACATATCAGATAGAGAGATAAGGCTCTCTGATGTAATGAACCACTTGTTGCCCTTCTCCTTTAACACTAAATAAAGCTCTCACTAACCCTATTATCACTAACATTTGTCAGCTATCCAAAGCCATGTCTTCTTCAATATTGCCTCCTTTTTCTTTTCTTTTTCTTTTCTCAATATTGATTCAGTAATTATCCCTACCACGTCCATGTGTATAAAATGGGGTTAAGGGTCATTTTTCCCTAAACGTATTTATTTGCGGACGAGCTGTGGATATTTGAAAGGTTATTTTAGTTCAAAATCGGTCTGAAAATTTTAAAAAATAAGCAATATTACCCTTTTTATTAAAAAAAAAAAAACTACCATTGACCATTAATATTTTGAATGAAAAGAATAATATTGTTCCTTTTTAACACTTTTGGAATGATACTGAACCTCAAAAAAAACTTTTAGAGATTCGTAACTACTCCTTCATCAACAGTTAGGCTTAACCCTATAATAGAAATAATGCATCATTTATTACGTGCCTATATAGGCGGAAGGGAAAGAGAAGATAAATTAGTATTGCATTGATGGATATATTAGAGATATGATTCTCCAGTTTCTTTAGTGTTTTTTTTATATGTACTCTTTTTAAATTTTGGAGAAAAAGGGGCATTTTAGTGGCTATAATCTGAGGAGTGAGCCAATGATTGCCTCATAATGGTGCTATGTTCATATCAATTTGGGTTTCTTTTGAATTGATTTATCTTCAAATCGCTGCCTCTATACCATGTGTCGTGCACCATCTTTTATGGAGGGTCCCATGCTTACCTCATATACTTTATTTCAATCATATCTTTCACTTGTCTTCCTTTTTATTTTGTCTTTTCTCCTTTTCCTTGTTTTAAACGCTTCCGTCATCATCTTATTAATTACTTGTATATGGTTTTTTGGTGCTTCTTTATTTAATTTTCTATACAGTCCCATCCATCTATCGTTTTCCGCCGCATGATTAATCACAGATCTTGTATACGTTCACTCTTCTTCCTTTTTTTCAAAAAAAAAAAAGGTTTTTTACCCTTTTGCTTGGTCTCAAATGAATCAGGGATAAGAAGATAGGTTCATATATTATATGAACCTTATTCAACTCTTCATTTCATTGGCGTTAAGTGTATCTTCATGATCTCACAGTTTGCCCTACGCCGTCCATGATATAAATACACACACACACACAGTGCAAATTTTGCTGCAAGCTACCAGAGAAGAAAATCAAAATGATATATGATTGATTAGATGCACTATAATTTAAATTTTGCCAGAGATATATCTGCACTTAGTTCTGTTTAAGTTCATGCTTTTGCTTTAATTTAATATATTATCTTAGGGATGACTGACATTTATGATTTTGTCTTTTTATTACCATTATTGTAATTAAGTTTTAGTATTTTTGGAACCTTATCTTGGCAATTTCCAAAGAATATTTTCTCATCGCTAGATCGTGTGGAGAGGGGGATGGTTTCTACATATTTTGGATTTTTATTTTAATTTTTTGCTAATGACATGTAGAAAAATGCGAGGAGGGAAAGAGACTAGTTCATTCGTATTTGGAAAATACTTCAAAGTTCTTTTCATCACAGCTAAAAAACTACTGAAAAGACCACCGAGCGCGTACAATCACTTGAGAGGTAGGTGAAAAGGATTGGATTATTAATGGACGTACAATTATTTTTTGATTCAACATTATTTTTCAATGATAGGGAAAACTATTTTCTAGTTTTGGTGTTACTTGGAGCAAGTGCTTTTTTCATTGAAAAAAATAAAGTAACTGCATTTTTAGTTTAAACCTAACAGCTATATATTCTTTGATTATACAAATTATCTCAAACTTATAAATACAATTCTCGAATATGTTGCAAAAATAATTTTTAACGACTAAATTTTAAGTGTAGTTCTTCCATAGTTTTGTAATATTTTCCAATTGAAATATGAAAACTTTTTATGCACTTCCCCTCCAAGCATTGAGGGGATTATAAAAAATGATTAAAAAAATTTTGCACTAATTTGAGGAGATATTGGAGTATATATAAGACTGAAAGTAACATACGATTTTGACAAATGTAAGAACATATCGTCAGTATCACTTCGTAATTTTTGCTTATTTGTTGGAGTCGCCGGCCAGTCCCATATGAATATTTGACTTCACTTTAAAAAAGGAAGCACCATAATACTATCTTGGATCATTAATATAAGACCTTATTTGGTTTTTAATTTGGTCTTAAATATAAAATCTCAGTTTACTTTGTTTCTCATATTTATCTTTTTTTTTTTCTAAAGTAGTCTTTGTAATAATGATAGTTCTAACTCATACACTTGATTAGTAAGGATATTTAGGAAAGACAATACCTATTTATTACAAATAATTAATTCAACTAGTCTTTTTAATCTACACAAATTAGTCAATTAACTCTTATATTAAAAATCGGAAGTAGTATTAAAATCTAATAATTAGATTATTTCATCTAGAAATTCATAGATGAAGTACGAACGTTATTTGAGAACTTTGTTATTCGGACTGCATTTGACTGCTGCAGAAAGGCACAAATGACCTATTAACCAAGCAAACTAAAAAAATCACATGACGCGGGGTCAACGGTCGTGTGTCGTGTCGTGAGGTTCAGGCAGATCTTGGTACCACCTTGCAAAAGCGTTTTAAGTGGTAGCATGAACTCTTTTATTACTATGAAATTGTTACATACATAAATCTCTTTTCGCTAATTTTAACAAAAGAATTATGAATTTTTAGATATCTATTTAATTTGAAAAAAATATCAAGCAACTTTTTGAAATTTTTATTTTATTTTAAAATAAATTCTCATAAATTTTGTTACTGTAAACAGATATATATACAAAATGTAAGAAAAGAAATTAAGATAAAAGTGCTGGTATACTCTGCTCACCTGCTTAATATAGTTAACGCTAATTGAAGACACTTTTAGTAACTAAGAGCCTGAGAAAAAAGGTAACTGAAAATATTTTCTTTAAAAAAAAAAAAGTACAAATCGTGAGAAGGAAGTAAGGAGGAGGGATTTAAGAGAAGTGAAAGGGAAAAGAGGCAGAAAATGGTCCAGATTTGGGCGGCTCTTTTTCATATGTATGGGATAGCTGGTTTTGAAGAAGATGGATGATGGTCCACACAGCTGGATCGAATTGCATTGCATGCCTTGTTCTACTTGGCTTCCATTTGTATTATTGTTGTTGACCC